TTTTGAGACGGAGTCTCGCTCTGTCACCCGGCTGGAGTGCAGTAGTGAGATCTCAGCTCACTGCAACCTCCGCCTCCCAGGTTCAAGCGATTCTCCTTTCTCAGCCTCCCAAGTAGCTGGGACTACAGGCACACACCATCACGCCCAGCTACTTTTTGTATTTTCAGTAGAGACGGAGTTTCACCATGTTGGCCAGGATGGTCTCGATCTATTGACCTCGTGATCTGTTCACCTCAGCCTCCCAAAGTGCTGTGATTACAGGTGTGAGCCACTGTGCCTGGTCAAGGAGACCTTTTCTAAAACTAGCTCAGCAGGTCAAGTTTGAGGCCTAATTGAGAAGAGCACACAGAGAAGCCTGGCTAAAGTTTGATCCAAGAGAGAGTCTTTGTCAGCGGGAGAAGAGGCAAGAAGGCTGAAAAACTGAGTGGGGTAGCATACTTTGTGATAAATAAAGGTCCTCACCAACAATTTTCCACCCTAGTTCAAGAAACAAAAAGATATGACAATTTATCTACAGGAATATTGTAAAAATTTTAGGTCAAGATTCATTTTAACTTTCTCTACAACTTAAAACACTACATTTGGCCAGATAAATTGTTTGATAAATTGTTTAACTCAGACATGGTTAAATTAACCAAATAATGGGTTATTAAAAGTCCAAGAAAAGTTTGAAGTTAGCAAGTAAAAACAGAACTCAAAACTATATTAAATAGTCAGACTTACATGGAGACTGTATGAAATACTGTATCAAAGAGATTGACTCACAGGCCATTTTCTGTGCCAATATAACAGTATTTTCATGAATGGTCTGAACAATAAAGTTCATCTCGTGAAATTTTCAGATGAAAGCAATGTGGCCATGACGGCTGATACTTGGGGGACTTGAGCGGGCTTTTACAATGCCCCAGCGAGGAGGCAGCATGGGCTTCAAATCAAGAGCCATGGCATCTAATGTGGCTTACATGGAGGGTTGCCCTTGGGAGAGAACAATAAATCCTACAATTACATTTGGCAAGCAATGAGTCAGTTATACTCAAAGGAAAAGAAAGATCAGTGGGTCATAACAGGAAACAAGCATGGCTGGGAGCTGCTTCTGTGGAAGCTCCCAGGTGATGTCAACAGTGGATTTGAATTGGCAGACAAAGTGCTCTACCTCCCATTGCCTCTGGCGCAGAGCCTCACCCCCACTCTGCCTTCACTGCAGATTGGGTTTTCCGGTGAGCAGACCCTCACATGGGGTTTAGCATGCAGACTCTTTATTAAGGAGCCCCTGCAGCTCATGTGGAAGGGTCAGGAAGCTGGCTGGGCAGAGGAAGAAGTGGAGCCCTGATATAGGCTGACCCCACAGGGTGCCCCAGAGCGAGAATTGCCCCTTTCAAGTTGTAGAGGGTTGGGCCTAAGTGGCCAGGTCTTCATATTCCTGTATCAGTGCATTGGATCTGGCTCTGTGCAGGCTAGGCTTCCCTGAAGGGGCTGACTCCCAGCACTGGGCAAAGGCCTTCTCCTTACACTTTCAAAGCCAAACTGAGCTCTATAGCAAATTCCTAAAGGTATTTATGTTTTCTCTGATATATTCATGAATAATGTGAGTTGTGTCTGTTTCCCTAGGTCTCCTCTCTTAGCTATGACAAATAATGAGTTGTGATTTGTTTTTATATCTATTTCTCCTTCACTGAACTAAACTCTTTGTGGATCAAGGCTGTGTGTGTCACTGTAGATTCCATCCATTGGCACAGGCCTGGCATAGCATAGCATCTGCTCGGTACAACGTTTGTTGCCAAATCTATTTCTTTGTCAGTTCTTCCCTCCTGCAGGGCTGGGTGCTGCTCCAGACCTGTGCATCACTGGAGCTCCAGTCTGTGCATCACCGTAACTGATTGGAGAGGCAGGGAATGGATGTGCACGATGTACCTGCAGGGACAGGTGACTTAGCTCAGCTGTAAGAAAAGATGCCTGCTGAAATATTGATGACTTCTTACTGTACATTCTTGCTCTGGAGAACATTTTATCAGTATCTGTGAAATGCCTGCATAGCAGGGAGGATGACTTGATTAATAAGTCACATGAAGCCTAAACAATGAACGTCAGCAGGGCCTTTCTTCAGGTTTAAATAAGATAAAGCACTTTGAGCCTTCTGGGCAAGAACATGCTCTTCAGCAGGTAGGACAGGTGATGACAGGCACTGAGGTAAAGTCTTCAGACAGGTTTTCAGAGAAATGAATATCTCTTTCCAGAGTTAAGTAACTCCTGCGTGATGGCACTTCATCTCAGTCAAAGGGGTTCAGTACATATTTTGTATTTTTTCTCACAGAGCGTGAGGTCAGGGAATATTCCAGCTCTTGGTGCCCCCTGGCATCCACATAAAGCAGGACGGACAGCAAGGCTCTCATATGCCTGGCCTGCTGTGTGCTCTGCCCCAGGGCTGCTTCCCTGCTTACCTTGCTGTTTCATCTGACGGTGTCAAAGGACACGAGTGTCCTGTGGCTAGCTTCTTCCGCACTGACTTTGAGGTCTTGGTTGCATGGCACAGAAAGCCTGGCCAGAATCCACGCACTGTGGATCCCCACTGCTGCTGTCCTTTCCCCAGCCTTGGCTACACTGAAATGTCCAGGCACGGCATGACCCAAAGCTCCTGCTGAGGCAAAGACCTCTCCTTAGCTTCATTTCTAAATTGAATACGCATACAAATAGGCATTTCCATACTCAGTCAGGCTGGTAATTTGGTATAAGTTAACAATAAAAAAATACAGATTCAAAAGCCATATGTAATCTATTAATGCTACTTTTAGAAATCTATCCTATGTCTACCCTAAGGAACAGAGATATGAAACATATTTACATATTAGGATGGTTAGAGTAATGTTTACGATAGTAAAAATTCACATCAACAATAAAAAAGTTAAATCATGGTATATCCATAATACAAAACTTACTCATCTATTAAAGCTATAATTTTGGAAAGTTGACTGTCATGAAAAATTGTTCAGGATAAAATAAGTAAATTAACAAGATAATAATATCTCAATTTTATACAATGAGCTCTATAGCAAAAAGACACTGATATGCATATACACGTATTATGTATATGCATGTCAGTGTCTTTGGTCAGTATGATTATGGTGCTCTCTATTTTATTCTTTAAGCTTTTCTGTGTTTTCTGGAATTTCTACAATGAGCACATACTATTCACAAACAGAATATACCAAAATGCAATAAATAAATACGTTGAATAGAAACCAAAGATTTCTTCATCAACCTGTTCTGCTTTTGTGTTCGTCTACCACCAAATGTGTGCATTTGCACACACAAACCTCTCATTTGCACACACCACAAGATGAGACTCACAATGTGGACAGTCATATAGGAGCATGAGTGTCTCTGGGTTATGGGTTTCTGGCCCACAGTGATAAGGCTGGGGAGAAGCCCCTGGACTACCCTCACATTCTGCATCCAGGGAGGAGCAGGGTTTCTCAGCGGGCAACACTGCCTCATGTGTTTGCATGAGTGAGTGATGTATCCTTCCTGCCCACCTATCTGGGACTCCCAACCTGGCCTTCTCAGGCCCTGGCTGCAAGGGACTGGATAAATATACAAGAGGCGCCCAGAGATTCAAAAGTTGCTAACTTGTGGCCCATCCAATTATAGAAAGCACTCTGCTGTTTGGCACCTATTAAACAGAGTTTCTATTAATGAATTCTTCTGCTTAGCAACCAAGCAAGGATAATTGATGTTTAAATGATAACCCTGAGGACTGTGAAACTCTAAAGTGCCTTCTGAGTTATCAAAGAAAAATTAATATTCCTATAATGTTTCTGCAACTTATTTTTATAGAACAGCACAAAGAGGAGAGAATTAAGATAAAGGGAAAGAATTCTTAGCAAACAAAGATTATGTTAATTATTAGATTCGAGGTTAAGAGTTGGAGAATTGGACTTTGAAAGAATCTCATGTAATTTTATGTAAGGGAAAGTGACACCCATGGTTTGCACAGATAGAAAATATGGCCAAGGTTCAAGCCCCTGGCCTCGCACCCCTTCTTTGACAGTGATCCTTGAGTCTTCTCTGATTCATCCTGCTTAGCAAATATTCGAGGTAGGCAAATTTGCCGTTGGCAAAGGTTGGGTCCTCTTTCTTGTTTATCATTATTTCTCCCCTTTCAGTGGTTGCCCCACTGAGATGGAAATGTCAGTGATTACCCCCCTTTACTATGAGAGTATCAGGGCACAGAGAGTGGGCTGGAGGCCCAGGCTCGGAGCCACGAGGCTCAGCTCTCCAGCTGTGAAACTTTGGATGAGTTACATGGCTTCTCTGGGTCTCACAGGGTTATCAGAAAGACCAAATAGCTTAATATTTATAAAGTGGTTAAAACAGTGCTTGTCATAATATTCTATATTAGTGTTTGTTCAATAAATGTATCATATCTCTAAGTATTTACTTTCAAAATAGGAGGTGTGTGAGAAATAACTTTACATCAGTCACGGACTCACATGTGGTGTGTATCCTGGCTTCAGTGGGGAGAGCATTGGCCAGGCACCTTGTTGGCCACATCCCAGCCACCCCACACAAGTGACTTCTGTGTCCAGAGGTGACCACAATTTAATAGTGGGTTTTGCTGGAAAAAAAGAAAAACTAATAAAAAGGACCATGACTGAGAGAAAGTAGCTTAGTAATAGAACTTTATTTTTCTGCCTGAAAACCTTTTAAGGAAAGCTAGCCCATCAATACAAGCAATATGTGAGTGGATGAGCTGGAGGAACTGCCCTCCTTTTATTTGTGAAAATTCAAACACATGAAAATTTGAGTCATTCATAAAGAAAATCTCCCAAGCAAGTGAATGCAGCACTTTGGTGGGGGCGGGGATTTTGGTGGATGATTGCCATGTTTGGGGAATTTTCTTTGTCTTAGTGGTCGAACTAGACGTAGTTCATAGAACTATGAACTCATAAGCCATAAAACACATAAGCCACTGAGATTCCGAGAGATACAGCCATCACACATTCATCTGGCAACTCTATTCATCTGTGAGACACACTGGGTAATGAAAGACTTGGTATATTATTTGTAAAGAGTCTGAACAATGTCATCAAGAACAATGTGGTTTGGGGTTAAAACTGCCCAGAGCTCTCACTCATGGCCTTTATTCTATGCCGATAATTACTCCTCCCGATGACCACAGGTGCCTTTGGAGACATCTGGTAAGATTAAGGCTCCTAGAAGATGCAGGCGTCCGCAGCGTTCCATGTGCAGAGCCTGGAGTCAGGGCCGCATTCTACCCACCACACGTTCCCAGCAGACATAACCGGCCTGCACCATATCGTTCTGTCCGCCCTCTTGCCTTTGAGAGGCTGTCCATTCTTCTCCCTGCAGTCAGGAGGATCCATTCGAGAGGCAAATCTGATCTTGCCCCCATTCCTTCTCTTCTCACCTTGGCCATCTCTGGCCAGCTGCTTTCCCTATCCAGTGCAAGGTTTTTGTCCCCTCCCCACTGCCTGGTTTATACCTTTTCTTCCTCCTTTTTCAGATCTCAGCTCCAGCAGCGGTCTTCAGGAGCCTGACCTGTCTTTTTACTTTCAAAATAGGAGTTGTGCGAGAAATAACACCTGGCATATGCTTCCTTCCCACTCTGGCTGCAGTCATCATTTCACACGGATTCAGGTGGAAACTGGTGCATAGCTCTCTGCCACTGGGCCCGCAGACCCAGGAGAGCAAGATTGTACCTTTTTCTTTGGTCTTTCTCTCATCAAAGCATCCAGCACTCTATTAATGGGGGTTAAACAAATGAGCACATTTGTTTGAACTTGGCTCTTTGGATGCACCTTGACCAGCCTGGAAGGATAACACACAGCAAACACTCCTGCTGGGTGGCAGCTATGATGCTGGTGCTGGTGCTGGTGCATTGGGTGCCCTCCCCTTCCTCTCCCCTTCTGTCTTGAGTCCTACTATTCTTTGTGCCTTTAAAGCTCCAGCTGAAAGCTTCCAGCTTCTGATTAGGAGCCCAGGTTCATTTGGGAGCCTTATTCACATCCCAGTTTTGTCACTTCCTGGCTGTGTGATCTTGGGCAAATTGTTCGCCTTCTCTGTGCCTCAATTTCCACCTCTGTAAAGAAGAGATAATAAAATTTCCTACTTCATGGAGCTCTTTGGAGAATTATGTACTAATGAGTTAATATATGTAAAACACTTAGAAATACTCGGCACAGAGTTAGCACTGGACAACTGCTCAGAGAAGCACTTCCCAGTTTTTATTTAGCTTTTATTTTATCAGACATATCCCATACCTTTCTTCCTCATAGGATTCTCCTCAAAGAAATCTTGACTGCACATGAGATTTGATTTTGGGCCCACTTAATAAATGTATGTTTTCTTATTTGTTAAAAGTGGAGGTTTGAGTGGAAGTGATCCATGGTTCTCTGCAACCCTGAGATTCTAGAATCTCACATCTTCCTCCACTGGAGATGCTCTCATTACTGAGTACCTTGATTTTACACAGATGTTCAATACAAACGGGAAACAGAAGTGGTGGCCCAGCCCGCCTTGCTACACAGTCCATAGAGAGAGGAGACCCTGAAGTGCTGAGTAATTGAGAATAGGGCCTTAAGGAATCTGGAAAGGAGGAGATTTTTGGGGGTTATCCCTGTGAACTGTGTGTGAGGGCACAGGTGTGAAGACAGGTCTAGGCTCACCTCGGTCAGAAGGCGGCTCTGCACACAGGTGCTCTCTCCACCAGATACTGGCGAGCATCTGTGAGGACCTCTTTGAACTTCCTTCTGAGTGGAGTAGCTGCCCCCTTCCCCTCCTTGTCTAATATTGGATGTTGTCTCTTCAAGGCCCCTTTTCTCAAATATCCAAAGGGGAAGTTTGGATCCTGAAAGGATAGCTGGGTTCACTATCCTATTTCAGGCCCACTGTTTTGTGATTTTATTTTGTTAAGGAACAAACAAAAGTGGTCCTTGAGGTTTCTTCTTCCAAATCACTGAGATACAGTAGACAGAAAAGGATGCTAATCATGTTTATATTAGATTTGAAGTATTCATTTATTATTGCTATTATTTATTTAGAGACAGGGTGTTGTTCTGTCAACCCAGACTGGAGTACGATGACACGATCACAGCTCACTGCAGCCTCAAACTCCTGGGCTCAAGTGATCCTCCTACCTCAGCTCCCCAAGTAGCTGGGACTACAGGGAAACACCACCTTGCCCAGCTATTCTTTTTTTTTTTTTTTTTTGTAAACAGGTCTCCCTAAGTCACCTGGGCTGGTCTCGAACTCCTAGCCTCAACTGATCCTCCCACCTCGGCCTCCCAAAGCACTGGGATCTCATCTTCCTCATCAGAGAAAAGTTAATGATGCTGTCGGTGTGGGGGTCTGCCTGGCACAGCCAGTCTCTTCCCTATGGCAAATGAAGCACACCTGCCTTCCCTCACTGATGTGCAGTGCTCTCATTCCTCTCCCGGCCATGAGTGGATGATGACAAACAGATCCTGAGATTCAGCAAGAGGGCCTCCTCTATCCACGTGCTCAGAAAGTTGGTGAGAGGTGTGATTCTCCTACGCCGAAACACAGTTTTCACGGAGACGTGTGTCCACTGATTGTCCTTCAGGAGGTCAAGATAAGGAGTAAATGAGAATGTCTTTGAAAATATTTTCATTACCCAATACTTTAAAATGAAGAAAAATCCTTTTGTCTAGGGAAGTTCATGTTTAGAATAAAGTAATATTTCCCAAAGTTTCCAACTGATAAGAAATGCCTTTGGGAGTTTGTGAAAGATGTGGATTTTCAGGTCTCTTCTCTGGAGATTCCATTGTTCTATGCAAAACTCAGAAATCTGACTTTTTATAAGCATCCCAGATCATTCGTACATGCAGAAAAGTCTAGAAAAATATCAAAGTGGGTCAAACTACCAAGAGAGGAGCAAATGCTTTAAAAAAAGTTAGTAAACTTCATATTTTAGAGAAGTTTCTAGAGGATGAAGTACAGAGAATTCCCACAGACCCCTGCCCTGTGTCCCACAGCTCCCCATGATCCGTCTCCACACCAGCGTGCGTGTGCGTGTGCGTGTTACAATTGATGCACTAAATCATCACCCACAGTCCACAGCTTACACTACGGCTCGTTTTCAGTGTACATTCTACGGATGTCGGCAAACGTGTAATGACACATAGCCATCATTACAGCATCACCAGAGTCGTTTCACTGCCCTTCAAATCCCCAGTGCTCCACCCGTTCTTCCTTCCCTCCCGGCACGCCTTGGCAACCACTTGCCTTTGTGCTGTGGCCATAGTTTTGCCTTTGCAAGAATAGCATATAATTGTACTGATGCAGTACGTAGCCTTTTCTGCTGGGCTTCTTTTAATTACTAATATGCATTTAAGTCTCCTTCATGTCTTTTCAAGGCTGGATGACTCATTTGTTTTTTGAGTTTTACTGAATAATAGTTCATTGTCTGGAAGTACCCCAGTTTGTTTATCCATTCACCCGCTAAGGAATATTTTAGTAACTTCCAAATTTTGCAAACGTAAGTAAAGCTTCTATAAACATCTGTGTGCAGGTTTCGTGTGGACATAAGTTTCTAACTCACTTGAATAAACACCAAGATTGCTGGATCATAGGGCGAGAGTGTGTCTAACTTTGTCAGACACTGCCAGGGAGTCCTCCTAGGTGGCTGAGCTAACTGCGTTCCCACCGGCAATGAATGTGAGACCCTGTTGCTCCATGTCTTCACCAGCATTTGGAGTTGTCAGTGTTTTGGATTTATTTTGGCCACTCTAATAGTGTGTAATGGTACCTGATTTTTGTTTTAATTTGCATTTTCGTAACAACAAACGATGCTGAGCATCTTTTCATATGTTTACTTCCTATGTGCTCATCTTCTTTGGTGAACTGTATGTTCAGGTCTTTTGCTCCTTTTTTTTTAAAATTGGGCTGTTCATCTTATTGTTGAGTTGTGAGAATTCTTGGTACATTTTGATTAACAGTCCTTTAGCAGATTTAGCTAGTTTTCTCATTCTCTTAAAATGATATTTTCCAGAGCAGAAGTTAATTTTAATGCCATCCAGCTTATCAACTTTTCTTTTATAAATTGTGCCTTTATGTTATATCTAAAAAGTCATTGCCATAATCAGGGTATCTAGATTTTCTACTATGTTATCTTCTAGGGGTTTTAAAATTTTGTGTTTTACATTTAGGGCTGTGATGCATCTTGAGTTAATTTTTGCGAAGGGTGTAAGGCCTGTGTGTTGACTCACTTTTTGCATGTTTATGCCCAGTCATTCAAACACCATTTGTTGAGATACTTTTCTCCATCACATTGCCTTTGCCCCTTTGTCAAAGTCTGTTGACTATATTTATGTGGGTCTATTTCTGGGCTGTGTATTCTATTTCATTGATCTATTTGTCTATTCATACACTATCTTGATTACCAAATGATCAATTAGCAAGTGATTAATTAGCAAAATTATACGCAGCAACAAGGGCAGAACACCCATTAATAACTTAGAGTGATTTTTCAATTATTTACGGTTTGGAGGTATGGCATATGTATTATACATGTTTAATGTGGCCACAGTGGTTGGAAGCTAAGATAAATTAATATAAATTACAGAAAGGATAACAACTACCTGGCCCTTTAGCCCCCCTCCTTCACCCGTTTCACCGCTAATCATTGGGTTGGAATAAGGAAATTCGCCATGACAATACATGGTAGCGTCTGTGCCATATCTGAATCGGGGTCTGTTGCTTACTCTGTCTCTTCAAACTGTGTTTTTGGTCTTGTAATAGACTTTTCAGTTTATTGTTGAAAGCCAGACATAATTTAGTGGATAATAGAGACTGAGGCAAGTAGGCCTTCAGTGTAAAATTTTATATTTACTTAGCTAAGGGTTAGACTGTGTTTACAGTTACTATAGCTCTAAGGGTTTGAGGATAAAATTTCTTGGGTGCTCTTGTTTCTGTCGCCTCTGTCATCTTGGGTTTCCCTAGATACTTCTTAAATAAGGTCTGAGTCACATGGGTCTTTCAGTTGTATTTCCCCGTTATCATACAGGAGCCCTGTTAATGTCGTGGCATGGTGTGGTGTGGTTTGGAGAATCATCTGACACTCTATGATTAGGCCTGTCTTTTGGTGACCCTGTGCATCTAGCTGTGACCTTCACAAGTGCTTCTCAGTCCTTCCCTCCTTAGATGAGACAGGAAGGATAGAGTGGTCCAGAATTTAAATATTTCCCTCCTCCCAGGTCACTTGGGCTTTGATAAAATCCCAGTAGGTAAAACTGTTTCTCTTGGGGGCAGGCTTGTCAAGAACAGAAGGCTCTGGGCATATTTCAAAGTGGTTCCTTTTCCACTCTCCCTGCTGCAAGCACGAGGCAATTTTTCTCCCATTGCCACTGTGAAAACCTGGTAGAGCTCCTGCAGCCAATACTTGCTAAAGTGTGGGGGGCTCCTAAGACGGGGCACCTCATAGTGTTTAACTCTCAGGTTTGTCTGCGTGGACCAGATTTATCAATTACAGTTCAAATTTTCCCACCTCAGTACCAGTTCTTGTAAAGTTTTCTGCTCCTGGGCTTCTACTCTGTTAAGTTGTGATTCTCCGTATCTACTTTTCAATTTGATGGTTGTGGGGCAGCAGTTTTCCCTGTGACCTCAGTCGTCTGAGGGATCTGAGAAGAGCTGTTAACTTTCAGTTTGTTCAGTGTTTTTCTTGCATGGATGGGAGTGATGGCTTCCAGGCTTCTTATATGCTGGACCAGACTGTGACTGTTTCTCAGAATTCCCTTGTAATGACCCTGGTAATTGTAACGTGTACTGGTCAGGTATATTGTAGGTTTCTCATCTAATGCAATTTGGCTGATTTTTACACGCTTAGATAGGGATCATGGGTTTTGAAGAGGAAGGCCTCAGAATTGTCCTTCCCATCATATCACACTCTCAACATGATTTGTGACTGTTGATATTGAACCTGATTACCTGGCTGAGGTCAGGTTAGTCAGGTTTCTCTACTTTAAAGCTATTCTTTTTCTCCTTTCTATGTTGTTCTCCTTGAAAGGAAATCACCATACACAGCTCACAGTTAAGGAGTAGAGGTTTATGCTCCCTCCCTTTAGGGTAGATTAACTACATAATTTATTTGGAATTCTTCTGCATGGGAGATTTGCCTCCTCATACCCAAATAATAATTTATTCAATCATCTATTTATATACATATGAATTTATATATTTATTTTATACCTTGAGTAATAACCCAAGACTACTTAATTTTGGTGTGGAAGTTGTCCCAGCCTTAACACTGGGATCTCCTTTGCTTGGTGTTTGCGTCCATTTGAGATATCCCATCATTGCGTGTGGTTTTATTGTAACTGTTTTGTCTAGTTTTTGAGAACACACTTACTTTCTGGTATTACAAAATATTTTAGGCCCACTTCGAATATTTTCTGCCCCAGTTTTAGAATCAGCCATTTCTCCAAGGACCCATGCTTCCTTTTGTTGGATAATGGCATACAAAACCAAGATCTGCGTACCAGGTATGCTCATTGCTAGCAAAGTATTATTTTCAGGCTCTCCCAGCTGAGAGAGTAAGGCGATAGATGTGTGTACACTAATCCAAGAATATATTTTCATATGTAACCATCTGTATCTATATTAAGTTAAACATGGATACTTATGTCAATCTAGCCTTCTGTTGCCACTGGGTTTTAATAATTGTTAAGTATTATAAAAGAAATATAAATTTTGAATGCAAAAAATATGTCTTCTTATTTATTGTGATTTACATTTATGGTAAAATGCATCCACATTTTGAGCATTTTGAACACAATTTTATTTAACATGTTTTTTCATACCATCTGCCATATATACATTTAATATGTTCATCACCTAAATAACGTTATTGCTAGAATATGAATTACATGATGATATTAAAAACAACCAATTCATGATTTTGCTGAAATGAACACAAGAACCATAAATTTTATAGACTATATAATAATGTATGAATCACATGTGCATCTTAATTTTTCTACTCATATGTAAATAAAATACTATAAACAAAATCTATAAACAGAATACTCAGAATTTGAATTTAATTCAGTCGTTTTTGAAATATTGCCATCTTTTAGTTGTGTAAAACCCATAGGCTATTCACAGTGGCTCACACCTGTAATCTCAGCACTTTGGAAGGCCAAGGTGGGAAGACTGCTTGAGCTAGGAGTTCAAGAACAGCCTGAGCCACATAAGAAGACCCTGTCTCCCCAAAATGTAAAAACATTAGGTAGGCATAGTGACGCACACCTGTGTTCCCAGCCACTTGGGAGGTTGAGGCAGGAGGACTGATTGAGCCCAGAAGGTCAAGGCTGCAGTGAGCCATGATTGCACCACTGCACTCCAACCTGGGCAACAGAGTTGAAACCCTGTCTCGAAAAAGCGAAACAACAACAACACACACATACACACACACACACACACACACACACACACAAAGCCTTGTAAATATTTTTCCGATTTGTTTTTATGAAGACATTTCAGCAGTAGAAGGTTAGAATGTAGTCTATTTAGCAGTTTGAGATTTTGATGTATAATCTCTAAATTCTGGCCTGTGGCATGAAGGTCTCCATTTATGTTCTGGCGTGGAGCCCTGCAAGTGTCAGGGGCAGGCTTGCTTCCTCCAGCTGGGAAGACATCCACTCTGTGGCCTTGCAGGAACCTATCTGCGTTGAATGACATCAAACAGTTTTCCATTTATTTGGTCAACAGCACAGCTCCTCCTCCCTCTCCTTTCCTTGATGACTCTGGTGATGACTCTGTCCCTACTGACCTCCAGCTTCTCCCATCTCTGGAGAATAAACCCCAGAGAGGGGCCTCCTGACTCACAGGGAGAAAGGATTTGGTAAGAAAATCATGAATATGGCCGGGCGTGGTGGCTTATGCCTGTAATCTCAGCACATGGTTGGGTGTGGGTGGGTGGATCACGAGGTCAGGAGTTTGAGACCAGCCTGGCCAACGTAGTGAAACCCCGACTCTACTAAAATTACAAAAATTAGCCGGGTATGGTGGCATGCGCCTGTAATCCCAGCTACTCTGGAGCCTGAGGCAGGAGGATCGCTTGAACCTAGGAGGCAGAGGTTGCAGTGAGCCGAGACTGCAGTGTTGCACTCCAACCTGGGCGACAACGAGACTCCGTTTAAAAAAATAAAAAGAAAAAGAAAAGAAAAAAAAACTTGTGAATACTATTACTCTGATACATTCTTTTACCCCTGCAACATTTCTTCCAGCTCTGTCTTAATAAAGCAGCCTCAAATTTTATAAAAGCCCTAGATACTTCTCATTCTGGGACCTGAAAGCCACTCCTACGTAGTGTTAGAGACCTTGCCCCTATCATATTCATTCTTCACCTAGCAGCAAGAACACTTTTTCAAAACCAAAAGTCCTACTGTTTTCCCATTTGAAGCCCTCCAAGGCTTCCCAGTATGCTGAGAGAGAGCCCCACCGTATTTCATGGGCACCAAGTTTCCTAACGTCTTACTGAAAAGTTGGTTACAACTAAAGAAACACTTTGTGTAGCTTTAATCGATCCTTTCTTGCCCTTTGTCTCTGTGTCCAGGTTAAAAGAAACAGTTTTATAAGAGGCACCTAGTTATTGCTGCTTCTGTAATCACGGAGACCCAGGAGTTAAGGGCAGCCTGCATCCTGGAATGGGGGCTACAAAGCAGCTGACGGGCCCCATTACACCTGAGATGAAGAAAGCAGGGCTGGGATCCTGCTCTTCTTTCATAATAAATATCTTAACATCAGGAATGTTATCTTGATGTCCCTGCTACAGAAAGCTGGTTGTTTGCATGTTGAAAATATATTCTTGTTGTCATTAAGTAGAAGAACCTGCACCCTAACATGTGCCTTAAAAAAATATCAAAACCAGCAGTTCTAAAGCCAAGGCAGCATTTTCACAGCTGTCTTTCAAATTCTATGGGTCTATGTTCACTAGCTCCAAATTGCAGGCTTGGAGATGCTCATGGTCGGCCATGAGTTCATTCCAGCGGGAAGTGACATGGTGTCCTTCAAAATTAGATTCCCAGTAGAAGCATCATTGAGATTTTCCTGTGGTGTCTGACACATGAAAATAACTACTCAAAATTTCCTAGGCCATAATCATATTCGTGTTCTATGGAGTCTTCACTGATGGTTCTGTTCAGTAGGTAGAACAGGCAAAGAACAACTTTGGTGAAAAAGTTCTGTGAGGTCCCACTTTCTTTCTGAGAAGGACATATAGGCTCCTTCACAGACAAACCCCTCCTACACATGAACTTCAGCTTCTCTATCCCATCTGCTGCATATGAATCAGGCCCCAATTTTCAGTGCAAGCCCCAGCTTTTCCCAGGTGGTCAACCTCCAATTATTGATTGATGGTACATATACTAGCTTGATTGAAAAGACATTTTTGGGAACGATGTAGGAGTTGAGAGGAAATCACTTAGGCAGATAGTGAGGGTGTGGGAGTCCTTGGTAAGGCTTTTACTTTTTAATGAAAAGCAGCTTCAAATCATTTTCTAACAAAGAGCAGTGTGGAAAGTCGAGCTGCAGACATGGGCAAGCAAGCTGGGAGCTTGCATGGCTGAGTCCCTGCAGTAACTAGGGACTAGATATGTTCAAGATGGCCTCTCCATCTTCCCTTCTCTGTCAGCCACGTGTTCAAGAAGGAGCAGACAAGATGGCGCAGGCCTAGGGGAGAGTTCACTTGCATAAGGGTGGGGCAACCAACCTTCACATCCGCCCCCACCCCCATGTAAATGTCACACCTGATGGAAACAATCTGTGAGCCCTACATACATCAGACACTGCCTCCTCAAGCTGGACTATAAAATCTGGTGCATCCGCTGCCAGCAGGTCTTTTCTGCTTGGAAGACCCCTCTCTCTGTAGAGAGGGAGCTGTTTTTCTTTCTCTTTTCTTCTGCCTATTAAACCTCCACTCCTAAACTCCTCATGTGTGTTCTCGTCCTAAATTTTCCTGGCATGAGAGGACTGAGGGAATGAACCCTGTGTATTTACGCCAGACAACGTAGCTGCTTCAGGAGGACCCTTCAAAAACTACTCGGTTAATCTATTTCTTCAGATAGTCTAATCCCTGATTTGAATCAGTTCGGGCCCCTGATAAATTTCCTTCACTAAGCCATGCTTCCCTGTCTGCTCTGTCCTTGGTTTTACTCAAGGAGAACCCATGTAACAAGACCAAGTTTGTTTCCCGATGCGCATCAAGGCAATACACCAAGTTACCCAGTTGCAGCTGAGAAAGAGGTTTCATGGTAAAGCAACCAAATGAGGAGACAGAAGGAAACCTCAATTCCATCTCCCCAAGGAGTTTGGAAGTAGGGATTTTCAGGGGTTTGGATGAATAGTGGGCCGAGGTGTGGGGATCCTTGACTGGTCAAAGAGCATAGGGTGGAGTCATGAGACAAGGAGCCAAAGAAACCTCATTCTCATCCTGACTGGGCTTCTCTGCAGGGGTCTTCATGTTGGGGGGGCTCCTCTGGGGGGTTCTTCATGCTGGTTGGTATCAGCCATTCCACTGGAATTCAGGATCTGAAAAACATATTAAGCAATTGTTAAACAGAAACTTTATGATTCCAGCATCAGAAATTCCATCTATAGGAATAACACGGATGCAAGTGGTCAGTCTTTTGACTGTGCTGTCCTTTAAAAGGAGTCCAAAGGTCTGCATGACTTTCGGTAGCAATCAGCTACGAGGAAATGGGTGCAAGTATAGCCAGATTAATGCTTAATTCTATTTCTGTCTAGAACTTGGCATGTAATTCTTGTCAACTCGGCGAGAGTGGTTTTTACCCCGACATGGGTCTATTCCAGCATTTGATGTGGAGATGCTGTGGAGGGCAGATGGCAAGCAGGTGGCCGCTACTTTCCCTGTGAAGCATGCAGAGATCATAGGCATCCTTGGTGGACTCAGTAGGAGGGAACCCTCCCCTTGAAGGACTAGCCCTTTATCTCTAACAGAAGCTGTGTCCCACCTCTGCCTGACTGCCAGGAAAACTCAAAAGAACACTGGCCCAAACTCTGCCTCCTCTGTAAACCATTACTTTGGCACTTGTCTAATTTGTTGGTGGTTTTTTTTTTTGTTTTGAATATTATTTTATTTAAAAATTATTGCACATTTTCCGGCAAGTTGTTTTTCAAAACCTTGTAAGTGGGTGAGGATATCAGTCACTTAAACACTCTAAGAATATTGAAGAGGGACTTCTAGGAGAGAATAGAAAAATGATTACCAAGTTTCCTTTCAGCCCAGAGGTTCCACAATGCAGTAACTTGATTACCTTGGGCTGAAACGCCTTCCCTTTCCCCACTGGCTCTGCTGAAAATATTTGTGCCTTCAAGGTAGGCCTTGACAACTAACGACCGCCCAAGTTTTTCTTCATAATTTATGAGTGAGAATAAATGTGCCTGCCGCCTCACTGTTGGTGTTCTTTCAAATGGCAAGCGTAGACATGAAAACCTGATGACTCATGAAAATGAAATGTCCCAGCGCGACAGGTGAATTTCCACACTGGCGTAGCTCTGTGCTGTTGGTTAAAAAGACAAAGACCCACAAGATTTCTCAGGAGGGGCAGCAGAACGCAGCCGGCACACACCTCTGAGAAGCCAGTTATAGAGCTGCCTTTCCAGCCCATTTCCCCAACATTGCTTTCTGCTGTGCCCCTCTCCACGCTTCCCACTCCTCATTCACTAAGATCAGTCTTTTGACTGTGCTGTCCTTTAAAAGGAATCCGAAGTGTAGATGGAAAAGGCGGCACCTGGTGAGAAGTAGCAACAGGATTTATAGAATCTGTACCTAAAAGATGCCTCTGTCAAGAAAGGGGGCGGCCACTCTCAGGAATCATCCTCAAACTGAACGTAGGCCATCAAGGACCTCAGGGAGCACAAGTTAATTGAAATGAAATCAATCCTGCCAGGGCTTTAATGAAGATGTTGAGAAGCCTGCTGGCAGCTGGGACCTAGCAGGCCAGTGTGAAGCTGCGATGGACAGTCCCTGGATTAAAAAGGGGCAGGAGGAACAGACTGAGGGAGCCACTATGCTAAATGTACCTGCCACTGAGTACTTCCATTCCCAGCCTCCACCTGTCGGACACTCACTCCCAGGGCAGCAAACAATAGACACAGAGATTGGGGGCCTGTGGCTACTTCTGTTGTTCCAGTTGAGCATTTTACAGTGGAGTGAGGGTTTGATCTTATGTCCTAAGGGGTGGTCCTTCTGCTGAAACTGCTAAGGAAAAGTAGTCCTTTTCTTTTAACACAGGACTGTGGAGTTTTCTGACAAAAGAATAATTCCACTCTTGCTGCCTAAAATCCATTGTCAGGAGTAGAACATCCACAGAGTTGGCAGCATGTGGGTTACTACTCTCTGCTCTGGACACTGGAGACCCCCAGCTGCCCCTCCAGGTCGTTCTTTCTCCAAGAGCAGAGCGCTCTCGGAGAAATGCAGATCTAATCCCATCTCTCTATGTGAAGCCCTTTAGGACTCTCAGAACAGGGTTCAAGTTCCTTAGTGGGGCCAACCAGGCAGTATCTGTTTCTCCCTCCAGCATATCTAACAACACACTCCTCTTTCCCCTTCACATCCCAGAGTCATGCCTCTCGCCTTTCCTGGGGCATCCAAGCACAAAGCCTTTCTCCACCTCCCCCTCTTCCAGGACATGTCGAAATCCTCCTCCAGGCCCAGATCTTAAATGCCACTGTTCCTGCTCTTCTGCCACTTGCTCTGTCTTTGTTCTGGGCATTCTCACCAGGTTTCCCATCTTACTCAGTGCCCAGAAGAGCGCCCGACATGGTTGAAAAGTGGCTGTTGCATATTGGCTGTTGTATGGATGTAGCTATCACTCGCTGTTCTACATCCTGGAATGTAAAATTAGCAGCCAGCTGAATTAAAACTCATTGAGTATGTTTGTATGGATATGAGAACTCGAGGTTAAAAAATGATGAAAATAGGGAAAGTGATGACCTACAACTAGTAGAAATCAGCTGTTTTAGGAGAAAAGTGACTTGCCTTGAGACAGTGAGGAAAGTGAGGAGGCTTTTTCAATAATGTATGTAAGGAATGATAAGGGCTTGAACCTAAACTGAAGCAGAGGGATAGAAATGTGGATTTGAGAGTTGCACAAGAGGCTAGTGAATGAGCTAGGGTCACATGCCATCAATCAGTGGCTGACTGGGTGACATGTCCCAAGTCATTCAAACCCACTGAGTTTTGGTTGCCTACCTGTGGAGTAAGCATGCCTTGCCCATGAGTATCTGATAAGCTAATACCAGACAAACACCTAGGTATGTGCCTGCCTCATTGTAAACCTTCATTAAGAACTAGGTCAAATGAAATATATATATATATACACACACACACATACACACACATCCAAGCATTTAATAAGATATAATGAATAAAATAGCAATAAAAATGAATAAAAGAACAAAAGAATTTGCAAGATGGAGATGGCTTAGGGGGTAGGGCATAAAGAAATGAGGGGGTAGACATCAGAGCCACCTGGCTGGTACCTCCCATCAAAGGCTGACTTTTAATATTAGCTCAAGGTAAAAACACCACATGCATGAATGAGCCATAAAAAGCCAGCAGAAAGAACTTCCCTTGCTTAGCAAGTGACACTTCCCACATTGGCCTTTTCTGTTCCTAATTCAGCTCCAATCCCTGGAATGAATTTTTCATTATTTTAGGTGATCTGGCTAGCTCCTTCTGCTTTTTTTTTTTTTTGCCGGAGGGGAGCGGAGTGGGGGACACAGTCTTGCTCTGTCGCCCAGGCTAAAGTGCAGTGGCATAATTTCAGCTCACTGCAACCTCCACCTCCCAGGTTTAAGCGATTCTCCTGCCTCAGCCTCCCGAGTAGCTGGGATTACAGGTATGAACCACAATACCTAATTTTTGTATTTTTAGTAGGGTTTCGCCATCTTATCCAGGCTGGTCTCAAACTCCTGGCCTCAAGTGATCCTCCCGCCTTGCTCTCCCAAAGTGCTGGGATTACAGGAGTGAGCCACCACACCCAGCCTCCTTCTGCGTTTTGAGTTTAACTCTCTGCCCCTAGTTTTGCCTGACTCCTGGAATCTTTTAATGAAAAGAAGTGATTGCAGAACAATAGATGTTAAAATTTACATGCCAGTAGCTTCCCTGACCTGGTTTTATGTCGGTCTTCCATTCTGTCATTTGTGTACGCATCTCCTTTAGATGTATCAAAGTTTTCTTGGGCATCCCAGCCCATTCCCAAAGGATTCGAAGGCAGGCTAGCATGCAAATTTGGACATTTTGGGTAGTTGGTGGTGGGGGTGGGTGTGGAGGAGAATAATTGAAACAACAAATACCAGGCTAATGGATCAGAAGGTCTGGGGAATATGACTGAATAGTTTTGTGTTTATTCCTTGTACATTGTGGTAGAGAAAGTAGACATAGCCCTGGGAAATTCACAGAAGGAGGCAGAAATTTTATGGAAAAAGAAGGAAAAGGAACACTGCATATACAGGAAACAGCAGAGTGTTCCTCTGAATTCCTTCTTGCCAGCTCATGCTATGATTTTGGTTAACACCCTCCTCCCACGGGGATGCATGTGTGAAAACTGAAGATACAAGGATGAATCACTTTTGTCAGACCCGGACGAAATAGGGCCAGGAAGTCCAGAAGGAGAGGAGGCTCATGCTTACCTTACATGCTTCAGAAAGACAAGGACTTTCTGAAGACCCTTTCTCATCCTTCGTGTATCATCTGCTTTGATAAGATTTATTACCAGACATTTTTAATTTTTTTTTTTACTCTCAAGTGACATTGACAGCACTAGACATCCTTTAGGACTCCAGTGATTTAGAAAAGATGTTCTCAGAAGAACACTTTCCCAGTAACAGCATTTCTACCAATGAAATGACGGCAACTCTGCTTTATACCTCTGGAATCAGTCAACTGTTTCCAAGCAGCTTATGTAGGTCTCTTTTTGCTAATGAAAGCTCTCCTTATTCTTCCCTCACTGAATGTGCTGGTGCCTTGCCATTCCATGCACTCCAGATCATAATACTTATTTCTGTTTCTGAGTAAGTCCAACATAATTAGAGAAAATTTTCTCTAGTACCATTTTTCTTAGGTTAACAAAGTATTGATGGATAGGTGGAGAGATCAATAGCTTTGGCATGTATATAAGGTGTCATACCTGACACTGGCTTTCTCATATTATTATATTAGTTGAGCCCTTATCTGTGGTTTCACTTTCCATGGTTTCAGTTAACTGTGGTCAACTGTGGTCTGAAAATACTGTATTAAATTAAAAATTTCAGAAATAATTCTTAAGTTTTAAATTGTGCACTGTTTTGAGTAGTGTAATAAAATTTGGTGTAATCATTCCTTTGTCTATAATAGTCACACTGTAGATTCTATCTACTTGCTAGTCACTTAGTAGATGTATTGGTTAGCAGATCAACTGTTGTAGTACCATAGTGCTCATGTTAAAATAACCCTTATTTTATATAAAAATGTCTCAAAAGTGCAGGAGCACTGTGTCTATATTATACATTAAATAACACAGTCC